AGGAGGAGGAGGAGGAGGAGGAGGAGGAGGAGGAGGAGGAGGAGGAGGAGGAGGCAGCACCAGCACCAGCAGCGGCACCAGCAGCGACAGCAGGAGGGGGCAGAAACAAGAAGCAGACAAAGGATGCGAGTCAACCTTGGACGCGGTCCTGCCGAGCACAGGATTCCTCGTCCTGAGCTCTTCGGGGGCGAAAGGAAGGAGACGATCTCGCCACAGCAGCTGGAAGGCGGCTCGAAAGAAGGAGGAGCGGTAGCAGCCGTCGGATTCCTCATCCGCCTCTCCAGCACACACCTGAGCTTGAGTCAAGCTGCCAGTAGCCGCAAACTCTCGTGACTCACCCGATCACCCGCATTGTAATTGGCGAGGACAAGAGAAGCCTCTTCCACCCTCACCCTGCTGGTCTGCAGCTGGGGAAGACACGTCAGCTCCTCCCTCCCTCCCTCCCTCGGCTCCCTCCCTCCCTCCCTTCCTCCCTCCCTCTGCTTTTCTTGCTCCTCGGATCATTCTGGCAATAACCTTTATCTCTACTCACTTTCTATTCCTCTTCTTCTATCTGACTTCCCTCTCCTCGCCTCACATATCTCGACATTGGAAAGCCGTCGCCTGCTCCTTTGCCTTCTCCTTCTCCTTCTCCTGCACTTGAGACTCAATGCCAAGAAAAGAGATAATTCAAATTTACCGTGAGATAATTTGTGATAACAACAGCCAACAAGGCACACAAGTCGAATTTCTGGTAGATTTGCAAACAATCGTAAGGAGTTGCTCGACAGGTCGCCGCAAGCATGTCTGTCAAAGCAGGAATGTAAGATTGCAACAAACATCAGCAAGAAAAGCTCACAAGCCAACTATCATACATCGCTCTTGACTTTCTCCTTCACCCTCCAATTTTTTGTGGATCACTGAGTAAAATGTCTCATCGGTCGAGGCGAGGGCAACATTGTCAAACCTCCACGGAAACAATCAGCGTCATCTGAGCTGATGCAAGCAGTGATGGCATGGAAGGAAGACTTGTGATCCTGTCTCATCAACCATCAACCCAACACGCGGACCTCCTCTGCTCTGCTCTGCTCTGTTCTGTTCTGCTCTGCTCTGCATTGCTCTGCTCTGCTCTGCTCTGCTCTGCTCTGCTCTGCTCTCCTCTAATCCTTCCCTCCCCTCCCCTCCCGTCTCCTCCTCACTCCTCCCTTCCTACCTGCGTCATTTCGCAGCTTCTTTTCAGGGAGGTCACAGTGTTGTGGGAGTTTGAATCCACCGCAACCACTCTGACATGATCACCCGTCAATACAGACTTGACAAACAAGTCCAACAGCATACACCATCATCCTCAAAACACTCGTACCGCCCTCTCACCTCAGCCCGGAGACTCCAAGGCAATGAGATAGATATCCCTTCCCAGCCCCAACGTCAACAGCTAGGGAGATGCCATGGGCATTTGCAAGCACAACAACTATGTCTCTCATCCCGCGGATCTCCTCCTGTCAGCAACAAAGTCAGCCTCAGATTCCTGTCTTCCTCTTTCCCTCCTCCCCTCCTCTCCTCCTCCTCCTTCTTCACTTCTCGATCCCCCCTCTCCTCCTTTCCTCTCCTCCTCTCCTCCCCGTCATTTTCCCTCCTCTCTTCTCTCTCTGCCTCACCCGCTTCTTCTCGTTCATCCCCTTGTGCCACTTCTTATCCACGAAGACAACATCCCTCATGTCTTGCGATCCTACACAAACTCTCTCCGACGGCTCGTGAATATTCTCAACCTCCATGTGCCAATCGTACGCCCGATCAACGCAAAGTTCCGACGCCGTTCGAACAAAGTCGTGAAAGGGCTGCTCTCCCACGGAACTTCCATCCGATCCTCCCCGCTCTTTGCTCCTCAGCTTCAGGCCATGAAGGAGTCTAGAGTGATATGCTCAGGCAGGCGCCAAGGCAGCATGTGTACCACCTTAGCTCCTCGTCGTCCATGGACAACAACTCCTCCCTCCATATCTCAGGAACCTACAACATCTCACGTTAACACTGTTCGAACCTTCGAGCGTCGACATGGAATTCATCGCCAATTGACATCATCACCACCATGATCACCATCTCTGTCATCATCAACAACATCGTGACCATTGTCATGGCGGTCCTACCGTTTCCCATAAGTTCTTCGAGAAAAAGTCGACTGTTGGATTCCCTGCTATGTCTGCGACCTTCTCCCACCTGCAAACTTTATCAACCCCCAATCTCCTCCCCTTCGAGCCCTTGCCAATCCTCTCTGTCTCCTGCTCCTCCCTCCACTCTCCTTCTCCTCCTTTCCCTCCTTGTCGACCCTCCTCTCCTCCTCTCCTCCTCTCCCTCCTCATCAACTCTCCTCTGCTCCTCTGCTCCTCTCGCTCCTCCTCTCCTCCTCTCCTCCTCTCCTCCTCTCTTACAGTTCGCACAGTTTCTTGAGCCTCTCTTGTGCTTCAGTCCCATCCGCCATGGAGATCTGTCGGGGGTGGAGGCCGAGAGCTGTCGGGGGTAGGGGTAGGAGCATGGAAGATTTTCAATACGGAAAGGTGGGGTAATATATGGAAAACGTAGGGGTAATTGAGGACTGAAGGGGGTGGGGGTAAATAGTGCATGTGAAGATGGGGGCGGACAAAGGGGATGAAGGTGTAACACGAGCGAGGAGGAGAAGAACAGAGGAGGAGAGATGATAAGGGCGAGGAGAAGAGAAGAATGTTGATGAAGACTGAGAGCACAAGGATGCATACCTCTGAAGGGGTAGAGGGGAGCAACAGTACAAGAGTGTAGGACGACATCTACCATCAGTTGCTTCCTGCTTGCTAAGGTGCTCTGATCATAATATCTCCGCAGCATGTCTTCACAACCGCCGTCGTCAGCTGAGCTTGCTCAGTTGATGAATGATCCTGAAAGGTGCCCAACGTGACTGTCCCTCGCCTCAACCATGCCTCAATCATGGCGCAGGATCAGGAACGTGACGGTGATGGCGCATGTGGACCATGGCAAGACGTCTCTGACTGACAGGTCTGCTTGCTCTCGCTGCTATCTACTTCAGCTCCTCATCTTCTTGCTCTTCCTTGCAGTCTCATTGCATCCAACGGCATCATATCAGAGCGGCTCGCCGGCAAGCTTCGCTTCATGGACAGGTGCTCTGGGCAAGCAGCCTTCAAGTCGGGGCTAAAGCTTGGCAGCCGCGAGGACGAGCAGGAGAGGGGGATCACCATGAAGATGAGCTCGATCTCCTTGAAGTTTGTCCTCGTCTCTTCCTGCCCCTCTCATGACGCGCTCCTGCCTTGTAGGTACGAGCCTGCGGAAGAGGCAGAGGCTGGGGCCTCTCCCTACCTGATCAACGTGATCGACTCGCCCGGGCACGTTGACTTCTGCAGTGAGGTCTCCTCGGCTGTGGTGAGATGCCTCGAGCAGAACGCCACCCTCCTGTCCTGATCCTCCCGCAGCGACTGAGCGACGGGGCGCTGGTAGTAATCGATGTGGTAGAGGGGGTAAGGACACAGACCATTGCGGTCCTCCGACAGGTTGGGGAGTCGAGCCCTGGGTCCTGAGACAACTTTCTGATCCTCTCGTGTTGTAGGCGTGGGTAGAGCGGCTGGTCCCTTGTCTTGTCCTCAACAAGATCGACCGACTGATTCTCGAGCTGCAAATGTAGAGGAGGTGGTGGAAGGGGGAGAAGAGTATGATCGTCATGCAGGTCAACAGACGACGCGTACCAGCACATGCTGAGGATCATCGAACAGGTTCTTCTCGCTTCGTCTATCCTATGGCATCGCCTGTCTTCTCCTCCTCCCCGATACTACTTGTTCTGCCTGATTGCCCATTTCTTTTTGTTCCTCCCCTTCCTCCACTTCCTCCTCCAATCGATGCCTGACCGTCTCCTTCCCGTGTCCTCTCCGTCGGACACAGTGTTTGTCACTTGCTGCATGAGATGATGCCTGTGCAGGTAAACGCGATCGCGGCGATGTTTCACAACGAGATGGTGATGGAAGAGGTAACGACAAGATTGCTAGAAGCCCTCTGACGTGCGCAGGGGGACGAAGACGGTCATTCATTGTGGGATGCGCAAGACAAGATGAGATCTCCTTTCGTCTTCTCGCCGGCTCTTGGGAATGTTGCTGTGAGTTTTGCTCGATCAAAGGCGTGATGATGATGATGATGATGATGATGATGATGATGATGATGATGATGATGATGATGATGATGATGATGATCAGGAGGGGGAGCCAATGAGAGACCC